GTCCCCATGGGTCCCCTTGAGGTCCCCATGGATGTTCTTGAGGTGGAGATATCTCCTTGAGGTCCTCTTGAGGTCTTCTTGGGTCCTTGAGGTCTCCTTGGGGCTACCTTGAGGTCCCCATGGGTGCCCTTGAGGTCCCCATGGGTGCTCTTGAGGTGGAGCTATCATCTTGAGGTCCCCATGGGTCCCCTTGAGGTCCCCATGGGTGCTCTTGAGGTGGAGCTATCATCTTGAGGTCCCCATGGGTCCCCTTGAGGTCCCCATGGGTGCTCTTGAGGTGGAGCTATCATCTTGAGGTCCCCATGGGTCCCCTTGAGGTCCCCATGGGTGCTCTTGAGGTGGAGCTATCATCTTGAGGTCCCCATGGGTCCCCTTGAGGTCCCCATGGGTGCTCTTGGGGTGGAGATGTCTCCTTGAGGTCCCCATGGATGTTCTAGAGGTGGAGATATCTCCTTGAGGTTCCCTTGAGGTCTTCTTGGGTCCTTGAGGTCTCCTTGGGGCCACCTTGAGGTGCCCATGGGTGCTCTTGGGGTGGAGATATCTCCTTGGGGTCCCCTTGAGGTCCCCATGGATGTTCTTGAGGTGGAGATATCTCCTTGAGGTCCTCTTGAGGTCTTCTTGGGTCCTTGAGGTCTCCTTGGGGCCACCTTGAGGTCCCCATGGATGTTCTTGAGGTGGACATATCTCCTTGGGGGGTCCCCTTGAGGTCCCCATGGGTGCTCTTGAGGTCCTCATGGGTGTTCTTGGGTCCTTGAGGTCTTCTTGGGGCCACCTTGAAGTCCCCATGGGTGCCCTTGAGGTCCCCATGGGTGCTTTTGAGGTGGAGATATCTCCTTGGGGGGCCACCTTGAGGTCCCCATGGGTTCTCTTGGGGTGGAGATGTTTCCTTGAGGTCCCCATGGGTCACCTTGAGGTCCTCTTGAGGTCTTCTTGGGTCCTTGAGGTCTCCTTGGGGCCACCTTGAGGTCCCCATGGGTGCTCTTGAGGTGGTGATATCTCCTTGGGGGGCCACCTTGAGGTCCCCATGGATGTTCTTGAGGTGGAGATATCTCCTTGGGGGGCCACCTTGAGGTCCCCATGGGTGCTCTTGAGGTCCTCATGGGTGTTCTTGGGTCCTTGAGGTCTTCTTGGGGCCACCTTGAGGTCCCCATGGGTGCTCTTGAGGTGGTGATATCTCCTTGGGGGGCCACCTTGAGGTCCCTATGGGTATTCTTGGGATGGAGATATCTCCTTGGGGTCCCCTTGAGGTCCCCATGGGTGTTCTTGAGGTGGAGATATCTCCTTGAGGTCCTCTTGAGGTCTTCTTGGGTCCTTGAGGTCTCCTTGGGGCCACCTTGAGGTCCCCATGGGTGCTCTTGAGGTGGAGATATCTCCTTGGGGGGCCACCTTGAGGTCCCCGTGGGTGTTCTTGGGTCCTTGAGGTCCCCATGGGGCCACCTTGAGGTCCCCGTGGGTCCCCTTGAGGTCCTCATGGGTGCTCTTGAGGTGGAGATATCTCCTTGAGGTCCCCATGGGTCCCCTTGAGGTCCCCATGGATGTTCTTGAGGTGGAGATATCTCCTTGAGGTCCTCTTGAGGTCTTCTTGGGTCCTTGAGGTCTCCTTGGGGCCACCTTGAGGTCCCCATGGATGTTCTTGAGGTGGAGATATCTCCTTGGGGGGCCACCTTGAGGTCCCCGTGGGTGTTCTTGGGTCCTTGAGGTCCCCATGGGGCCACCTTGAGGTCCCCGTGGGTCCCCTTGAGGTCCTCATGGGTGCTCTTGAGGTGGAGATATCTCCTTGAGGTCCCCATGGGTGCTCTTGAGGTCCTCATGGGTGTTCTTGGGTCCTTGAGGTCTTCTTGGGGCCACCTTGAGGTCCCCATGGGTGCTCTTGAGGTGGTGATATCTCCTTGGGGGGCCACCTTGAGGTCCCTATGGGTGTTCTTGGGATGGAGATATCTCCTTGGGGGGCCACCTTGAGGTCCCCATGGATGTTCTTGAGGTGGAGATATCTCCTTGAGGTCCCCATGGGTCACCTTGAGGTCCCCTTGAGGTCCCCATGGGTGTTCTTGGGTCCTTGAGGTCTTCTTGGGGCCACCTTGAGGTCCCCATGGATGTTCTTGAGGTGGAGATATCTCCTTGAGGTCCCATGGGGCTGCCCCACCTTAACCCCGCCCCTTTTTTTTTTGGTGTCCCCAGCCCGGCCGACGTCCCCCCAGATCTTCCCCCTGGTGGCCTGCGGTAACCCCACCCCCACGGCCTTGGGTTGTCTGGCGGACGGTTACTTCCCCGCTCCGGTGAAGGTCACCTGGGACGGTGGGGTGGCCGGTGTCACCTTCCCGGCGGCTCGTAGGTCCTCGGGGCTCTACGTGGGGGCCAGCAGCCATGACGTCACCGGGAACCCCCTTCGTTGCACCGTCCGGCACGAGGCCACCGGCTTCAGCAAGAGCATCGAGGTGACAGGTGAGAGGGGACATCGTGGGGGACATCATGGGGGACATGGAGGACATGGGGTGGGTGGGGAGACATTGGGGACTTGGAGGACATGAGGACTTGGAGGACATCAAGGACATTGAGGACATGGAGGACATGGAGGACGTTTGGGGTCATGAGGTCATCAAGGACATCAAGGACATTGGGGACATGGAGGACTTGGAGGACATTTGGGGTCATGAGGTCATCAAGGACATTGAGGACATTGAGGACATGGGGTGGGTGGGGGGACATGGAGGACATCAAGGACATTGAGGACATTTGGGGTCATGAGGTCATCAAGGACATCAAGGACATTGGGGACATAGGGGACATGGGGGTCATGGGGGACATCAAGGATATTGGGGTCATGGAGGACATTGAGGACATGGGGGACATTGAGGACGTTTGGGGTCATGAGGTCATCAAGGACATCAAGGACATTGGGGACATGGAGGACATCAAGGACATCAAGGACATTGAGGACATTGAGGACATGGGGTGGGTGGGGGGACATGGAGGACATCAAGGACATTGAGGACATTTGGGGTCATGAGGTCATCAAGGACATCAAGGACATTGAGGACATGAAGGACATTGAGGACATGGGGGACATGGGGGTCATGGGGGACATCAAGGATATTGGGGTCATGGAGGACATTGAGGACATGGGGGACGTTGAGGACGTTTGGGGTCATGAGGACATCAAGGACATGGGGGTCATGGGGGGCATAGGGGACATCAAGGACATGGAGGACATCAAGGACATGGGGGGATATGGAGGATGTTGGGGTCATGGAGGACATCAAGGACATTGAGGTCATGGAGGACATGGGGGACATCAAGGACATGGGGGACATTGAGGACATGGAGGACATCAGGGACATGGGGGACATGGGGGACGTTGAGGACGTTTGGGGTCATGAGGACATCAAGGACATGGGGTGAGTGAGGGGACATTGAGGACATGGAAGACATCAAGGATATTGGGGTCATGGAGGACATCAAGGACATCAAGGACATTGGGGACATGGGGGACATGGAGGACATTGGGGACATGGGGGACATCAAGGACATGGGGGACATTGAGGACATCAAGGACATTGAGGACATGGGGTGGGTGAGGGGACATCAAGGACATGGAGGACATGAGGGACATTGAGGACATGGGGGACATTGAGGACATAGAGGAGATGGAGGACATGGGGGACATCAAGGTGGTGGGGGTTGGGACAAGGTCACCA